CGAGTGGCAGGAAATCTTTGAGGAGATCGTGTACCGCCGGGCAATGAAAGACTATGACTCAAGGCCGTGTCCTAACTGTCTTGGCGAAGTCGATGTGCGGTTGACGGTATGTCCGCACTGCGTAGCGGTGTTGATCGCGAATGGGAAACTCACACATGTGGTACCCAAGGAGACAAGAGACCGCAATCAACGATCACCTCCGAAAGATGTCCCAGCCAGTTCTTCCGGTGAAGCAACTTCTGCTGCAGGTGCTAACATCGATGAAGTCATCAAGAAGGCACGCAAGACAGCCGAAGAGGTCATTGACGTCGAGGAATCCGAAGGAGAGGAAGAGGAGGAAGTTCCTATCATTATGAAGGAACGACCGGATGAAGCTGAAGGCGAACCCGAATATCGGGAAGTCCCTCAAGATGGATACGGGAATGAACTTCCGCAGCCTTTTCCCCTTCGCGATTGATGAATTGCCACAAGAAGCTGCTATCCCCATCGACCACAACTTTGCAGTCACACAGCAGTTTGATTTGAGGTTGATGAAGTTGATCAAGAGCTTGGCCAACGCGACGTTCGACATCAACTGCTTTGAGAGTCGTGAAGACGTACTGCGAAGGTTCGACGATGGACAGCGGCATGACACTCCGTACAATAGATGGCCATTAGTACCGAATGATCCGGATACTGGGTTTCCAAGACGTCTCCAGAGAGCCGAGGTCGTAGGCATGACCAAATGGACCAACGACACGTTTGCAACAGAAGCGTGGCAGATCTATGAGTTCCACGCCCACGTTGTTCACCCGATGATGATCACTGCGATCCGCTGCGGGCTTAGCCACAAGTACCTCAAGGAGGTCGGCAGCACTCGGCGTAACATGAGTGATCCAAAGGCTCGGAGGTCTGAGACCCAGGAGGAGATCGTCGAGAAGTTGGCATTCATCTCAAATTTCATCAGACGCTTGATCAGGAAGACCTTCGGAGCGAGCCGATATAGCTACTATCAGAAACCAGATGACGAAAGTGCCGCTCCATACAAATTCATCGACATTAGCCCCGCCATCAAGTCGGAGCGGAAGAATGTCACGAAGGAGATCCTCGTTGCATGCCGCTACTATGGCATAGAGGTATCCGATATCCAAGCACAGAAATTGAAGCTCTTCGAGAACCAGATCCGAGCGGGAAATCCGAGGAACGTTGAGCTTATCAAGGACTACATTGGCTTTGTCGGTGCTGACTACATGCGACAACTCACGAATGGTTGAGCATTGGGGTCATTCCGACATACCACTTCCGGTACTTCATGTACTGAGGGATCTTGGGTAATTCATGATGACCGTTTTGGCATCATGGGAGCGAGATAGGATTGTGTGTTACACCGCTGGTAATCGCATGATACCATAGGTAGGTGCACGTTTTCTGCTTGTAGCTCCGTTACCTGTTTGATCCGACTTTCAGGCAAATGCAAGATCTTTTGCCAATTCAGTTCAATAGAACATACTGGTTGACCTCCAATACACTTTTGAGAATGTGATTCGTTCTCCGGTTTTTACATCCACTCATCTCCCTTCCCCGTCGAAGCACGGATGTGGGGGGTGTCAATAGGGATGAGGTCCCAGTATAGTTGCTATATAGGTACTGGCCATATACTTTTGGCTCAAGTGCCCAACCAGGGAAAAAGGAGCTTTAGCGCGCGAGCTTCATGTTGAACTAAGGGCTAGAACGGGGCCTGGGCACGCCTTTTCATCCGTTCGCAGAAAAACAGTTTGCACGACTTCGCCAGGTACGAATTCTTTGGAAAACGACAGCTGGTCCGGGTCTCAAACGTTGGAGCAGGGCAGCCGAAAAGAAGAGTTCGATCTGCTCTGCCAAAACCACGGCGCTGAGATTTCAACAGCCATTGACTTGTGACTTCGTGGTTTTTACTATTTTTTACGAACAGCGCCATTTCTTTAATTCATCTTGCAATGCGACTACGCAGGTCAACTCTTTTGATCTTTTACCTGGTTTTTCCGGGCGAAAGAGGTGCAGCGGTCCCGCTCCGTCTCTCCCGGTCGGGCGACCGACCGTCTGACCGTCCAGCTCCGTCTCCGGTCGGTGGGCCACCTGAGGTGACGCTCTTCAGCGCTCCCAACTATTGTGGGGAGTTCGACAACGCCGGAGCGATGATGACGTTGGATGAGCGCTCTGGGAGCAGGGAGAGTGATGGAGAGTGGAGTGTTTTTCTCCGGTGGTTTGGAGGAGTGGAGCTTGACCCAGGCCCATCCCGAGCGATCTTCCAAACTCCACGAGTCACAGGTGGTCTTCAGTCAGTTGAGTGGACGTGACAGGGGCACCCCGACTTTGATTTGAAGAGGCCCGGCACCCCCGAGCTATAGTAACAAGGGCATTGCTACTATCAAGTAGCTACTACTAGCTTCTTGTTACTAGTAATGCACTTGTTACTAGTAGCGATGCCCTTGTTACTCTTGGTTGTGCTCCTTCGTCCCCTTGGGCCTTGGGTGGTCACCTTCAACGACTCGCTGCCTCGCTCGGCGCACTGAGTCGGTCATGGGGTGGCTTCGCTGCGGTGGGGCCGAACGAAGGAAGCTTCACCCCGATGATGAACATACCATGGGAAACCCGGTTCCAGCGAATTTCCTCTAGATCAGGCAACCCGGGTTGTCATAAAAAATAATCAACACGGATGAACACAGTGCCAGTGCCAGTCTATAACTGGAACCTGGAATGTCCTTGATTTTTTAGTGCCACTTCTGGACCCTGAACCTGGGGTTCTTAAAGAATTGACAGTCCGGGTGTGAGTGCGAATTGAAAGGGGGATCCATGGGATTGACATATTTACCGACATCGGGGTAGTTTGAGGGGTCAATGTAGGCACAATATGTATTTGTGGCTATAGGTTGATGGTAGACCCACTGGCCGAAGTTCCTTTTTTGCGGAGCCTTTGTGGGGGCACGGTACCAGTTTTAAATAGATCATTTTTCACCTCCCGCACCGTAGCGAAAAAGACGCTCGACCAAGGACCCTGATGTGCAAGTTCATTGTGCTCAAGTGCCCTCCTTGGTGCAGAGCTTCGCGCCGGCGACCCTCCGTGCGACACCTCGCGAAAACGAATTCTGTGAGAAAACGGGCAGCGTCTGGTTGTCGATCTTCGCCTGTCATGCGAGTGCGGAATCGAACCGAACGAAGCCGGGATCTCAAGGTTTTCGCTTCGCCGGGCGGCGTGGATCTCAAGCCTTGAGATGACGATCGATCTGTCCCAAGGCCCACTGCCAAGAAGAAGTGAGGCGAGAAAGGAACCCTGACAGAGATGGCCAAATTCACGGGTGGTGTTCTTCAGCATCGGCTTGGAATCACCAGAAAGACACGCTTGGTTCATCGTTCGCTGTTGCCCACCGTGAACGCTGTCCTCTCTGACCATCCCGAAAACTGTAGCTGAAACACTTAGAAGCACGTGACGTCTTCATGTGCTCTTCCGCCCGAAGCCGCGGTATAAATACCGTCCCTCGGACAATCCGACGGAGGAACCGTGGACCTCGAATCCTTTTCCTTCAGCTGTCCCCCACGAGGTTCCTTCAGCGAGTCTTCGTGGTTTGGACAGTGGAGTCAGCTCGACGGCGGCACCCTCCCACCGAAAGGTGTAGACTATGTACGCTATATGGTGGTTGGAAGCCTATAGGGTATATATTATAATGATTACTATGCACTGGTGGAGTAAATTTTTGTCATTTCATCGTGCAGGTTCATGTCTTCAGATGACACGTTTTCGAAACCAACTCGAGTGAAGATCCTCAGAACTTCCACCCGCGCCACACGGCGCAGTGAGAGCTCCCACCGGTGCCGCTGATCGGTGTGAGAACGACCGCTGGAGTGGTCGGCCCACACCGGCTCCGCGCAGCGAGCCATTTAGACCCAGTCTGCGGGACACCCCTCGGAAGTGACGTCCGGTTTTGATCCACATCTCAGTCGCCTTTTTGGATCCGATTTCGAAGGGCCTGGCGCCCCCCGAAGGGCTGTTCTCGGTCGGTTTCCTCCGATCGTGTCCCCAGAAACAGCATCGATCGGCGCCCCCCATGGGGGGGGGAGCCCGTGCCGATGAGTTCCACGCAGGGAGGACTTGCAAATGCAAGGGCCCCCCAGGAAAGGAATGAACGATCCGAAAGGATCAGAAGAGAGCCGGACGCGCGCACCAGGCGCCAGCCTTGCTGGCCAAGCTTGAGAAGTAGTTGAAGTAACTTCAAGTCTTGCGGCATCAGACTGTCTTTATGGCTTCGTTGCTTTGTGGCGTGCGGTGGGTGCCTCCGACAGTCCAGTTGCAGCCTGAGTGCCTTTAGAACATTCGCATGAAAAGGAGCGCGGAACCCGCGCGGAACCCGCGCGGAACCCACGAGCGCACGCGTGCGCTTGAGGTCTTCAGAGTGTGGCGAAGCTTAAGGGAGCATGATTGGACCGGAACTTGAGATATTGCCGGTGTACCGCATCGGCCTAGCCCCTACACCAGGGCCCGAAACCTGCCAGGTCACCACCTGTCACTTTAAAGGTCAGTCTGCAAGAATCAGAGCCCCTAGAGGACGAAGCAGGTGCTGGTAGAAGTGATTCAGAGATCTACCGTCCAGGGACGACCTGCCGACATGGCATTCGACCGCCTTTAAAAGCCAGTTGGAGAAAGCCCGAAGAACAGACGACGTTCTGTTAAGGGATAAGTGGCGGAGAATTCCACATTTGGTCTCATTTGGAGGCGTTTGCCGCCGCTGTAAGCTTCAAACCTTGTGAGGAAAGAACATGCCCAGACACCCAGGCAGTGCTTGGCTTCAGACATCAACAGCAGCAAAGTCACAACTTGCATCAACTTGGGGCGGCTCCAGCCACAAGAACTACCTTGGCTTTGGCTGAACACATGTGAAAGCTAGCTACATGTGCTACTTCTTCACGTTTCGCCACCGGAAGCCTTCACCGGCGCCAGCTCGCTCGTCTCCGACCCGACCCGAGGGGGACCGACCTGAAGCCGGCCGATGTTGAGTGCCTCCGACCCGTATTATGTGGCCAAGGAGGAAGTGGCCAAAGCCATGGAGAAACTCCAAGGCGTTGCAAACGAGACGGAGAGTCTTGCGGGCGAAGAAGAAAAGGGGGTGGTGAACGAGGTGCCAAATTGACTAAGGGAGACTCGCTGTCCAAGCAAGAGGGAGATCTACTATGCTTTTTACCAGACGTGTGTTTTCCAGAATGATAGGCATACTGTCCTCAAAGAAGCCATATAGTTTTCTGCCTGTGTTTGCTTGCTGAGTTGACACCATTTTGCAAGTGGTTGGTCATGTTTCGGAGGGGAAGCGTAGCCTTTCGTGAACACCTTTCGTTCGTCGAGGCCTTCATCAAGACTGGAAGAGGTCGCTGCAGGCGGAGGATACGGCACGGTCTCACCGCTTCCAGCAACTTCACGAAGAGATCACAGGCAGCGGCCCCGGGACCGCAGGGGACCGCCGGGGCGATCGTTTTTCTCTCCGCGCCAGGGGAGTTGGAGCAGCTGGGACTTGACTTGGATGATATCCACGTGCCGTGGCAGAAAAGAGGGACCACAAGCCCTTGCGCTCGCACAAATGTTGGAGAGGCGGCATCTATATGAAGGAGTATACCGTATATATATATATATAAGATAATGAAGATAATGGAGGCTATATACATATATATATATATATTACTTTTGGATACTATTCCCACCAAAAAAGCCATTCCAAAACGCCCCTTAAAGAAATCGCTTGGAATCCTCCGCGGTTGGTGGGGGTGGGAGAATGGGAGTCTCACTGTGGGGGTGGGCACCAAGGCGGCAAAGACTAAGACCTAACACTTCCGATCCCGTCGACCTAGAAGTGTGGGCTTGTCCAGCCTGACCGGGTGGGTTTCTGGAATCCTATTGGGCTCTATTCCTTGATTTTAAGCACGCTTAGATACCCCTGCACGTCTGAAGTCAGCTTTCCCCAGACAGCAGCACAGAACCGTTCCTTTTGGCCGGTCTACCGGGTCGGAACCGGTGGGCCGAGGTCTTGTTTTGGTTATGACTTCCGTTTTCGACCCGGGTGGTCGCTTTGCACCTGAAGCACCTGAAGCCCAACCAGTCCAAGACGAAGACCAACACCGGAACCCTGGTTCTGTCGGTTGTTCCGGACGGGTCAAAGCTGCGGCTCCAGGCCACCATCAGCATGGTCGAAGGGAATCGCAGTAAATTCCAAGTGAGCGACGGCGAGCTGGCGAGTCGGAAGCGCTTTGCGAACGACTGCCACAAGACCTTGGAGGAGTTGCAGAAGGACCGCGGGAACGTGGAGCGACTCCTGAGAGGTCGGGCGGGAATTCAGAGGATTCGCTCGCTCGGTGGTTCTGTTTTTTTCGGGTTTTCGCGAGCCGCTCGGTGTTCGCGCTGGCTCGCCCATCCACTTCGGGGGCTCCTCGGCGGAGTTGGACATGGTTTTGGGGTGCCCTCCTCGGCGGATGACGCTTGGATTACACCAATTGTAAACTCTTGATTCATGGGCGCCCGCCCCTTCTCTCAGAGGTTGTTCCATTCAAATTGAGAGACACCATTTAGACTCTTGCAAGAGTCTACATTATGTTGAACCATCATGCATAGCAACATATAGCAACGACTCGTTTGAAGAATCAATTTCTTGAACTACCTGCGAGCTTGCGGGTAGTGATGCAGAAATCTCCAACCACCTGATATAGCCATCATAGGGCTGACTCACCACAAGTACAAAACCTAAACCTAATTATTAGCAAAGAAACATGGGTTTGACTTCAATGACCCAGTCAAGACCCTCGGTTTTACACAACCTCCCAGTTGAATTGCAGAACCTCTTCTACCACTCGGGTGGCTCATCAATCAAGAGTCTACCAGTCGACTCATCAAGCCGTTGGCTCAGCGCTTCGTCGCAGGATGTCCGTGGGCCACAGACTCGGATGAAGCTCGAGAACGACAAGAAGGCGATAAACCCGAAGCGGAAGACTTTGCCCCCCCCAAAAAGGCACTCATCGCTAAGCCGCTAGGGACCGTGTGCAGCTTCTTTTGTTTCTCCTCATGAGATCTGTATATCGATCTTTTGTAGCTATAGCTCATGAGTCTGGTAAGACTATAAGACCTTTAAAAGCATCATGAGTCTAGGATTTTTTCCTGGCATCTATCTCCAAGTTGGGTCAGACATCACTTCCATTCGTTCGCCCCCCAAAACACACGCCTTCCTTCACCCAGTCATCGGCTCGGGCGATCTGTCACCGATCGCTCGGGCGAGTCGCGACCTGTGCGACCAGAAGAAATGGGATGAAACGGTTGGAAGAAAGTGGGAGGTTTTCAAAACACATTGGTTGGAGGTCTGTTTGAATCACCATTGGGCGATTGAATAACAATGACAGTTCCATATAGTTCCATCAAATTTTTTAGTATGTGATTTTGCTGGCTGCACTGGCTATTGATGCCATAGGCCATTGAGACTCCTTCGGGGTGCCAGGCACTGCTGTCTTCGGCCGCCTCCAGTGCTCGCAGCAGTGGCTGGGCTGCGGACGGCAGACCTATATATGAGGTCAACAAAAAATACCGGTAGACGAGGACATTGGCATATAGTTAAAGACATATTATGGTTAGTGCAGATCATAGACTCCATTATAAGTACCTCGGCAAATGGGTACTTGTTTTTATGGGGCCATGTCCCATTTTCTATAGAGGGTCCAGGTGCATGTCTGTACCGGGAACACCCTGGCCATCGTCCGCTGTCCGAGGAGAAGAGCGCCAGAGGAGTGCTATGCAGGAGCCACGGGAAGGTGGCACGTCGGGTCGCCTTCTCTGCCCGGCGCGGCCCTCCCGGCTTCCCGCGCCAGGAGAACCAGGCGTTTCTGGATCGCCAGCGGCAGCAGCAGATGCAGATGACTGCACAACAGGATGAGGAGCAAACGACATGCAAGATGAAAGACGTTGCCATGACCGGCACCATCATCAAGCCAGTTTGAAAAAACAAAAAAACATACGCAGTAAGCTGAAGCCAATCTAATTACTCTGTCTTACCTTCGGCAGAGTTCAAGTTCCACGGCCACAGGGTTGAGTTAATTACAGTTATTTAGTCTGAAGATCATAATGAGAATCTCCACCGCTTCGTGTTGGCACTCAGCCGTTGACGTACGGCCGGAGGACTTGGAGATGCTCTCACTGAGTGCTCAGCGCCTGGGAAACACGGCTCAGCGGCTCGGACCAGCTGACAGTGGACTGCTCCACCTGTCAGTGCTGCTGCTGCTGCTGCTGCACTGCGCCCGGGAAGATTTACAACCTGAAAATGGAGCTTTGTAAGACGACTTTCCTCTACAACCCGACGTGGTTTTGAGGTTCCACGTTGATCTTCCAGGGCACATCTCGGCTGGTTGATTGGTTGGAGACCACGACTGTCACGTGTACAACCATTCGGTGCACGGTCGAGTCTTATCCCTTTAGCAGTGTTGTAGATGGCTGGGACCGAATGGCCTGGACAGCTCCACAGCTCTGCCGTTTCCCTTTAAACCTCGCGGTCCGCGAGGTTTGAGCTTTCGTGAAGGAATCGAGTGGATAGACAGTTTTCATGAACATCAGGACGCCGGTCCGTCCAATCGAAGCGTCCAATTGAAAGAAAGAAAGAAAGAACATCAGGATGGACTTTGGGATTGCCACGATGTACTTGGGATTCAAAACATCGATCTCCCGTGACGTGCAGCGACGCGTGCAGCGCCTCGTGGAGCTGCTAACCCTGCTCCAAAAAGACCGGTCGGACGCGATGGACGCGAGGCGTCCGGCGTTTTTGTTTCTGTTGTGGCGCCAAGGATCATCAACGTCGAGCTCAAGGAGCAGCAGAAGTTGCTTCAAGACCTGGACGAGGAGATCGATCGACCGGTTCCGGGTCGCGGCGTGGCCTGTTGGGGTGTTTGTTGGGGGCGCAGAACCAGCGCAGAACCACCGTTCACGACCGAGAACCCCGTCCTGGATGATGGATGATGATGGCATATTGCACCAGTTATGGCACCCTAGGATCCTATCATAGAACCTCACAAGTGCTGGTGGTGCAGAGGGGTTAAGGACAGAATTGGCATGGAGCTCGTATCCCAGGAACTTTGGCATACCACAAGTAATCTCTTGGCAGCTGAAGGGCCCAACCTTAGGTCCCAAACCACGGACCCTTGGGTCCCAAACAGGTTCATCCAAAACGCCCCAGGAGGGTTCGAACCAGAACCCCCCCCCACGATCCCCGTTGGGGGTTCAACGGCTGTGCGTGGTCTCCCGGTCATCCGGGAGATTGCCGGGACGGTCCGAACTTCGGACTCGCCAGGACATCGACAAGGAAGCCGAAAAGCTGAACTTCGTCGGGAGACCCCGGCACCGGAGGAGAAGAGAGAGAGATCCGCCCCCCAAAAGCCCGGCCGAAAACGAAGAGGCCCGTGCGGCGATAGTAGGGGCGCGGAACAAAGCCGTTTTGGTTGGAGTCGTTTTGGGACTCCATAGTCTTGGGTTGTCAGATATATATCCACCTCCGCCATATGCAGGGGGTACAATATGAGTAAATATGAGTCATGACTGGACTTGGGAAGAGTCCGACTGGCCGCTGTTCACAGGGATGTGTTTTGCCAGTTGCCCGGCATTGTGCCAGGCAGGCATGGTCTGTTCTTTTCAGTCGGACTTCGGATTCGATTTCTGGACAGAAGCCCAAGGTCATGAAGCGAATTGGAAAGCTTCTGAAGACCAGTGACAGCAAGCAGCAACTTGGCGAAGTCAAGATTTGTACTTTCATGTATTTTCCATCGTTTGGAGCTAGTGCTTTGCCAGTTGTTTGCTCCTGTTCGAGCTGCATAGCTACTGGGTGAACCCTCTCAACTGTCTGCTCCTGACAGGTTATGCTTGATCATTGGCTTGACATGCTTGGTCGCCTTCCTCCTCTTCTTAGTGATCAACACCTGAAGAATGACCAGTAAGTAAGTTTTAGTGAGATGTGCAGCATGGCAACTTGGAGCTGCCAAAGGGGCATTGGAAACAGCAACCACTCAATGAGAGGACCTGATATGATCTGATATGTACAACAAGCAACAACTGTGCATGTGGCCCGGTGATGACTTTGAGCTGAACCCAAATCTCCTTGGTTTCTGTGCAGTGAAGACACCTGCGATGCAGACGTGTTTTCTGGAATGCCCAGTACAGCGACGGGCGCATTCGGAAAATGAGGCTTAGCGATGGGTGAACATGAATGGGGCAGGGGTTGTAGGGGGTACATGTTGGTGGTACAAGTTTCGCCCTTTTCCTTCCGTTTTCGCTGGGGCAGGATGGGGTCTGAAGGTCTTGCGTGTTTGTTTCCTTCATGGCAGATGTGAAGCTTGGGCCAAGAGGTGACTTCAGCTGGCTCAAAGTATGCCAGTGTCGCACAACTCTTGTGGCTTGTCATATCTTTCCACCAAGCACTTTGGATTGAGAAGCAGCAATGCTCAACACCTAACCTCATCCTTCCACTAAACCTCCTACCTACCACTTCCACAGGGTGCCCCCTCTGGAGACCGCTTAAGTAGGGTAGGCTAAGTCGAGTCGAAGGCCAGGACACCCAGGATCCGCCTATATCCGCCTATTAGTGGCCTATATCTATATATATATATACCATCCGGAGACCTCTTAGTCATTCACCATGGATGACTACCATGAGATGGAACTCTCCAGGCGCGTTCGTCACACCGGGTCAGACCGGCGGACCGGTGGGTTGGTCGACGGTGGAGCACCGGAGCGGAGCGGAGCACCGGACGGCGGGCTCCAGTCGTGGTGAAGCTGAGAAGGTAGGTACGACTGGAAGATCGGAACTCCAAGTTACCATGTTCGAGCGACTTCGGGAGGGAAACAATCTGAACATGAAGGAACGAGCGGAACGAGCGCCGCGTCGCAGGCGGAGTATTCAGATCTCCGACCTGCGGGACGCCCCTCGGACCGCGCGGAGATGCTTTTGGTGGGGACCCGCGGAGAGGTCGGGACTCGTGGGGTCTGTCTTTGTGGTGTTGTGTGTCGGACGAGGTTCGGCGGTTTTAGGAGGTTGGTTAACTTGGTTTGTTTGGCTCTGTATTATTTGTTGTAGTATATGTATGTATATATATATGTTTGTTGCTCCTGATTTATGTTTAGCTTTTTTCTTCTCCCCAAGTTCGGGACGTGGGAGTCCGAAACGATATGAACTGCGAGAGATACCCGGGTCGAGTCACCGGGTTCCAGATCCTGTGGCTCGATCTAAACCTGAGCTTAGCTTCTGTACTAGATGGTCAGATTCCGGAATCACACCATCAAAATAACAGCACCTTCCCAACAAAACACATGGGGTAGCATGACGTGATGCCTAGCTGAACTTTGCAGATGGCGATGGGGAGAGAGAGAGAGAGAGAGAGACAGAAAGAAAGAAAGAAAGAAAGACAGAAAGAAAGAAAGAAAGAGAGATGACGTGATTCCCTACCTTCCTGCACCTCAGGATTTGCTCTTCCACCGCGACCGCCATCAAGAAGCAGAGGACCGCACCGCGCAGCTGGAGCGGCAGATGGCCAAGCAGAAGGCGCGCGAGCCGTCGCTGGTGGCACCTGAAGGATAGCTGGACGATCCTCACATGTGCCAAGTAAGTCGCGTGGCGCTCGTTCACTTGAGCGCTCTCCGCCGAGCGCGTCGCTGAAACATGCTGAAACCTCCCAAAACCTCCGAGCGGCACGGCGACGGAAGGCTGAAATGGCCATCCGAAAGGCTGCAGCCCAGGCTGGTACCGCCGCCGAGGGGAAATCCACCGTGCTGGTCGCTCCCGTGGTTGGTCGCTCAAAGGAACGTGTCCTTTGGTGTGGCTTGGATGGCTCGCATGCTGGGAGTTGTGGTATGTTGTGGTATTCGTTCTCCTTGATCCATCTATCATCATTTATTGTGTCATGTTATGATGTTATGATGTCAATATATTTATGTGCATGTTCATCCTTCAAGATCCAGAGGTCACCCTTCTGGTTTGCAGGAGATGGAGGCTCAAGCGGCCGCAGATCAGGTGCGCCCGGAGGGGGGCGGATTCGGTCGAAGCTTTTTGCGAAGTGACGGCGACGTAGGGAGCTGTGGGGGTAAAGATGATCTTGGATCTGTCCGTTCTTACCTGTAACAGTCAGCGAACAATTGTCACTATTTTGTAACAAGGCCCGCAACCTTAACCATCATCCACTGTTACTGGTAATGGGATAATCCATATTCCATTCATATTCCTACATATATCTCCCTGAAGCAGGGAGCCGGAACTCAGAGCAACCCCTTGCTAGATCAAGTCTCGTCCATTCATCCAAGCGACAGTGTGGCTCGATCGGATGAGGCGTTTTGCTTAGAGAACCAGCGCTTGATTCAAGAAGATGAAGAGGCGACCACCCGCGCTTTTTCAGTGGTGCTGCGGAGGAACCACGTCATGCAAAGCGACATGATGTAGTGGCAGATCGAAAGGGGGGACATCATGGGAAATCAGAACTCTTTGGTTCAAATAACTCTAATAGTCATATAGTGATAAAAAACATGTGAAAGCACGAGGCCTTACACAGCTCGGACCAGTCTGACTGCAGGCAGCTGAAGCTGAAACGACACGTCTCAGGGAAGCTGTGGCGAGAAGCTTGGGAAAGGATCGCTCGGCCAAAACGATGCAAAAGCGTCCAGTCGACGTGTTCGAAGGCTTGGTCAGCGTGATGCGCTGACGTGAATTGTTTTGACATGTTTTGAACACACCCCCTGACCTTTTTGATAACACCAATGTGGGGCACATGGGCCTTCAAGGTCATACGTAAGGGCGTTCCAGGGCCCCCCGGTTTGAAACGGGATGTCATAGCTCCTGGTGATTCGGGGTATCCATTCACCACCCCAAACAATAGGGGGCCCTGGTCTATCTCATGCCGAGAGCTGAACACGTTGGACCTGCTGGCCATCGTCAGTCCCGTGGGACCCCGGCGGGAATGCGACGGCCGAGAAGCTGGTGGGTTTTGTCCGGGCTGTACTCGACTGCCCAGTCCTCAACAACATCCTCAAGATCCAGGTATGTCATCATATGTCTGTTCTTCTTGATCGATCAGCTCAATCCAACCTTCGGGAGCTTAAGGCAGGTCCCCAGAGGCCCTCTACCCCCCCCCCCCTTTCCGGACGTCCAGCCCCTCGGGTCGCATCCGTCGGATCCGAGGCGAAGGCCTCGGAGTTGCTGCAGAAGGCCCAAGTGCAGGCCGTGGAGGCAAGGCCGTGGAGTCCACGGGCGCAGGGGGGAGCGGGCGGAGCAAGAACCAGAGGCCATGCGAGAAGAAATGGACTAACAAAAAGAGAGAGAGAGAGAGAGAGCACCTGCGATGATGGTTGGGGTGCGAGGGTGGTTGGGGGGTGAGAGACATTTCCGTGTGGGGTGCGAGGGTGGTCAGGTCGTTCTTTTTCAATCAAGGTCTTGGCAGGGAGACGCGGTCAGCGAAGCAGATGGAGCAGTGGAGCGATCCAGTTTTGAGTGGACGACGCGGTCCTTGGAACCAGGTGTTTGAAAGATAGATTGAGGATCACAGGCTAAAGGAGCAGGAAAGGAGAGGAGGAGGTACTTGAAGGGATCAGTTGGAGGAAGTGCCCTTCAGTGGAAGGGAGAAGGAAGAGGAAAGGATAGAGCCTATATTCGCGTTCGTGAAGTGGTGGGTCCACAATAACTGCCGACACGAGTTACAGCTAACACCACCCAAGAGCAACTGCCCCCTAACCCCTGGAAACCGAAATGCTTGACGTCAAAAACAGAGACTTTTAGAAGGAAAGAACAGCAGGAAGGGAGCGACAAGGCCAAGGACGGGACCCTTTTGCAGTCACAATTTCGGCAGAAAGTTCTTGGTACAGTGGTTTCAAGAGTAGATGGGGGTCGACATTTCCACCCCCACAGGGCAGTCAGGTGTGCTCTTCTTCAGTGGCATGGCACATGTGCCGATATATGTGGTCCGCTAGGCCGAGAAAGCTGCAGAGGCTGCGAAGGAGCAGGCCAGACGAACGTGATGGGCCGTCAGACCTCGTGCGACCAAGTCCTCCTTGAAGTGAACGAACTCGGTGAATTGACACGTTCGAGCATGCAGATCATGCAGCCTGAGCCAGGAGCCAGTTAACTAAATGTTCACTACGTATACGTTCCACGTTCGCCCTGCCCAGAGGCTCCATGTCGGCCGTCCGAGAAGAGCAAACGTGCTCTGAGCCTTTGCCGAGGCCAAGGCACGGGCCGAGGAACATGCTCATCACGCACGGTGCTCGGAGGATCACGGTGCCCAACGACACGGCGGGAACGGGACCGAAAAACATGGGACGAAGCCATCATCCAAATCTCCCTTATAAAAGCATGATATAAGATATGCTGCAGCATGAGCCATATATCATGTTAAGTTCCGAGAGCCATTCCGTGTTTTTGCCCTCAATGAGCTTAGTTTGCTGGTGAACACTTCAGATCAGCTCGGTCAGCGACTGGTGAACCACGTCACCAGTTGCTTCAGCTGAAGTAATTCGTAAGCCAAGCAGGCAGTTACACTTGGCTGCGTTCTTTGTGGGAGGATGGCACCCTTTTTCTTTGTTCACCTGTAGCTTCGGTGACGATCGCTGAGCATCGCGTTCGGCATCGCGTGCCACGGTGCATTGCTCAGGCTTTGCAGCGTGGAGCATTGGAGGCCGCCATTGCGACTGCGACAGAAGAGATGGAGAAGGTTCAGGACGATGAGAGCACATAGTTTGCACGAGAGCGTGTGAGTTCCTGCAAGCAACATCTTTCTCCACCAGGACCCTCCAACAGGTCACCCATTGAAACCTGTTAGGGCCCTTCCCAACCCATTTCGGAGACCTGTTAGGGCGCAGATCGGGTGCTTTCTCCCAGAGTGACCACGACAGCCCCTCTGCTCGACGTCTCGGACAGTCTCGTCGTCTCGTCGTCGCTCCGAGGAGAAGATCCGGGAATTGGAGTGGGTGGCTTAGCGCAGACGCATGTCCAGCCAACGGGAGTTGGCCAGGTTGATCAGGCTGCTGGTTGATTTACCGCGTCGTGCAGCCAGGTTCGGTTTGGAGGTGGAGAGGAAGGCGAGTGAGGCGGGGCACGTCCCACCCGCCCCGGTTGACCGCCGTTGACCGCACCCTGCGAGAAACGTCCGATCTGGAACCGCTGCGGCCGACGGCCATGAGGAGCTACAAGGCCAGGTGGAGTTGGCCGAGGAGAAGCCGGGACTGTGTCACTCAAGCAATGCGATTTTGTGGGATGATGGATCATGATATGAGGCTCATGAGGTGGAGTTGGTGCGGAGTGCGGACGATCATCTGGGGGATGCGGAGGTTGAAGAGGTTGGGCTGACAGTTCGGCATACAAAGGCCATTGTTTTGGAACTTCAGCCAAGCCCATGTTGAGCAAACAGCGGCAGAAGAGGCAGAAGGTGTTCTTTTAGAGACGCTCGGAGGCCATACTCGACCTATTTTACACCAAAACCCTTTCCGGCTCAAGGGCGGAATGGCTGGAGACTGGTGTAACAGCACCGATTCGGAGCCCGTGTATTCCGATCATGGCTTTGTGGGCCTTGGCTCCTACATCGTCTATTGCGTGTCAGTGTCCTTGCATCTCTTGTGCACACACTTTTTCAAGGTGAGGATCAGCATCAGCCTTCTGCGGCACTGCGCCATACAGGATATTAAGAATTCAGCTCGGAATGCCTGGACCAACATTGGCGTCACTTCCTCCTTGGTGATGACCACCGTGGTTGGGGCCTTGATTGAAGGACGGGAGCGTCGACACCCACACACCCACCCACGCAGGCTGGGCGAACCAGCATTCGGGATCACCGGTCCGGTCAAGCAAGAGATCCGCCATGACCCGCAACCCAATCCGAATGTGAACCGTCCTGACCGGTCCGACTTCCGCGCCGCTACGCCCAACCAGGGGGGGGCGCTGGATTTCTCCGTTCACCTCCCACGCTTCAGCGATGAGTGTCGACGAACGAACGACGGGTTCGAAGTCACAACGCCACCCGAAGTCGTCAATATAGACCATTAAAAGAACGGTTGAGCTGGTGGTGTAGTGTACAAGTCCTTAGTAAAACAATAGTTCTTTGGTAACGACCATTAAAACAATGGTTGTTTGATGTTGTTTGAATCCTAGGGTAGACTTTTTGCCAAAGGGGAACATCACGGAACATCTACGCAGGGTCGATTCCGAGTAGGTGAAGGTATGGCAGGTCCTGATTACCTTTTACTGTACCGCTGGTGATGAGCAGTTTCGAAGTGTGTTCCCTGAGGACACGAGATGTCCCCGCAAGGCTTTTGCATGGAACCTCTTCAGCTTCTTCATCTTCAGCAGATTTATGCGTCTCTATGTATCACTTGCTTGTTTGCACCTGACCTGTCATTAAACTCAGCGACCCAAAGACTCGCTGGAAACAGGCTCAAGCTTTGCCCTGGGAGTCAAAGACTATAAAAAGGAATGGTCTGACTCGGTGACTCGAGTCTAGGAATGTCCTTTACTTCAGTTGGTCAACATATCGTCGAACTGGACTTCTAGGGTTTGAAGTTGATTCTTGTTTGGAACACAGGCAGCACCGAATCACAGAACATTCCGGACATCATAAAAGAATCAATCACTCCGGGCCAGTGGGGCCTGTGCACATCTGTGCACTAGTGTTTGCTGTGTCACCTTTCGCCGAGGCAAACATCAACTGCATCATTTACTGCGTGCTCAACCTGTTTTACTGGGATTCGTTGACCGAGTCGGATGCCATTGGCTTCCTGCGGGAGAATCCGCAAGTTTTAGGAGAGACGGTCATTTACATGGTGGAATCCTATGTCTTCTTTGTCTTGGTGATTGCCACGTGGTATTATGCCACTTACGGGCAGCGCCTTGCGACGGGCATCTTCATTTCGATCACCGCCACGTGTATCGCGAACTTGGCCACGGTCTGGGCCAACTTGCTCCGCTGGCGGCGGAACAAACGGTCAGATGACTTTCCGACGTGTGGTAAATGCTGTAAGGGGAAGGGGCGGAAACGTCCGGAGGAGTTGGAGTGGTTTCAGTTGATGGATTCCATGGTGCGCTCGGACACCGCCGTTTCCGAGCAGGGTGCTGCAGCGGCCTCGACCGACGCGGCCACGGACGAGGTGGACACTCCTCAGGAGCGAAGGGTGACGAATGAAGCGAATGACATGACGAATGAAGCCTGTGAAGGTGCCGAGAGGCTGCATGCTCAAAGAACTGCGGTCGACCGGAATGAAGAGATCACAGAGTTCCATGTCTAAGGAACGAGGCAGGAATGGTGGATCTCGTTCAACCAGATGCTGACAAAGTATCAGCAGTTTTCGTAGTTTCTGTGGAGGACCAACTGGCTTTGCCTGCTTGGACTTTGGACCTTGAAGCTTTCTGCTGTAGGCACGGCTGTCTGGGTGACCTTTGCGGCAAAGACCGGCCAAAACCGCCACGACGACGAAAAGCGGGAGGCAGCGACTCGAGTCGCTGGAGCCTAAGCTGAAGGCTCTTTAGTGGTCGTGTGATGTCGGCATCTTAGACCCCTTAGGCCCCGGTGGCTCGCTTTGTAGGTCCTGAAATCAGAAGCCGCGGGGCTAGGTTTCAGCTGATCTCCACGGGGTTTCTGCCCTTCTCCACGGGGCCTCTCGACCAGGAGAAGGTTCAGCAGACGCAAGGTGAGTGTGACCGATTGTCGCAGATCTTGGAGGCTGAGATGCGAAGCCAAAGTTGATCGTTGTGCGGTGTGCTGACGGCTAAACGAGCAAAGTGAAGACGCTGACTACGTAGGTTCAGGTAGGGAGTTGCGTTTTTCAAGGGTCTGTTGAAAGACCACATACCGACCTTTATCCATATCGTTGATCGAGTGGTCTTCCAACCCGGCCAACCCGGCATCAAACGCCGATCTGCGGGGTCTCCGCGTTTCGCGATCGGCCAGGAAGTGCATCAAAACATCAACATGTCAGCAATGAGATACCTGGAACCCAAACATACACCTGTCTTGATGGGAAAAGACCCTATTTTGGGGCATTTGCAGGTCTATGATAGAGGTCACTCAGGGTCCAGGTAAATACTATCGATATGCTCGAGGCCCATCAATGACCCATCATCCATTTTTTCGCTGAGCGGTCGCAGTCGTTGAGCTGCCGCGCGAAAGAAGACTTGCGGCGAGCCGGGCGCCTCATTTTGCTGTGACACAGTGTGAGGACACAGCGACATGAAACGCGGGCGGCACTTGACGGCAAATGGTCTCCGTCATCCATGGACACACCAACGGACGTGCGCGTGGTGATTAAGCCTTTCAACCATGCACTTAAACCGTGCCAGTTAAAACATGTTAACACAAATCGTTTCATGTTTCTTTCATTTTCTAAGTTGTGTTCGGGGGCGGGGGTTCATCCGGATGTTGGAGGTTTCGTGACAAGGTCATGAAAGGTGCACCAATTCACAGCAGGGAGATGCACTGTGCTGCCACTGGCCGACCAGGCGTTGGAAGCCACGCAGCGAGAACAGATGCGGCTCACGCAGGAGTGTCGGTTGCGAAGGGGGGGGACACAGGCCTAGAGATTGTCCAGCGGTCGAGCGTGGAAAGGGTTCGAGTTGGTGAGAAGATGTTAGAAGACCAAGAATCCCAGTCCCAACCATAAAACGACTGGATGTTGCACTATGTTGCACCAGTCCATCAGTCTCAAGCACTTGCTATGTCAAGGATCTGTATTGCTGAGTTTGGAACAAGCAATTGTCCCCGCCACAATGTTAATGAACCGTTTTGATTTGTTGACTTATCGAGTCCAGCTGTTCATTCAGATCTTGCTTTCCACATGCCTTCCCGATCTGAATGCATTTTCCTTCTTTCGGCGTCATGTTTCTTTCTGACATGATCTTTAAACTTTCTATAGCTTTCGTTTAGACTTCTTACAAGAATGCAAATACCGTTCAATTACCCTAGAAGTCCTAGAAGTCCAGTTCGACCATATTTTGACCAACTGAAGGAAAGCATATTCCTTTTCTCGGGTCACCGTGTCAGATCATTCCTTTAAAAGTCTTTGGCCCCCAGGAATATATATTCTTCGGTTTTGCCAATCATCTTCACGTGAGACCTGAGAATCTCAGTGCTGGGAGTCTCACGCGACCCGACCGGCCTCGTCATCTCACCTGCAGGAGGTGGCTCAAAAGCAACGAGACTTGCTTCTTCAATCCCAGCCAGGGATCCCTGGACGCCCCTTCACGCGACGCGACGCAGCAACCATGAGCAACCAACCTCTTCCAATGGCCACTGAAGAGTTCTCCCTCACTCCGTGTCGGGTCCGCGCGTCGCAGAATCGACACTTCGACCTAACCGGTCGACCCAGGTCGATTCAGGGGCGCTTGGATGAGACCAAAAGGCCATGATTCTCGAGGGGGGGCGGAGCGAGGAACGAAGCCGCTGGGGATGGAACTGGAGAAGCCGAGTCTGCCGACGAAGCTGAGATTGAAGGAAGTGGATCAGACAGGGATGTCCCTCACTGAGAGGCAGGAGTGATGCCTAGTGAGGTCTGAGCGACCTGTGTGCTGTGTGCTGTGCCTTTAGACTACCCAGTGACCACGGAGCAAAGCTCAACGGACCACTCTGGGCGAGCGACTCGAGGCAGATCCAACAGACACGACAGACGGCCGCCGGAGCCCCAGCAGTTCCGGGAGGGTTCTGAGTCGGTCCCTGAAGATGACATCATGTTGAACTGACTGGGTTGATCATCCATTGAGCACGCGTGAGCTAGCTGGAGTTGTCCTTGCTTTAGCAAGTGAGGGGCTGGAATCCTCGAGATCGCTGCATCACGTGAAAACTGTAGAGGGCCCCCCACCCCCGCGGGTTCAACTCCCCCCTGGGCCGCCTCTGAGACGGACACCTCTTGGACACCTCTTGTGGCATCCACTTTGGTTCAACTCCTCCGTGGAGGTTTTGGGATACGATGCTAAGGTTGGCTGTGTCATTGCTGTTCGTGTGTCTGACATGTTCACAACGTTTTACCTCATGAGCGAGACCTTGTGAACCATCCCTCCAACAGCCCCCATGCCTATGAAAAAAGATTTGCCTCACTCCGCTTGATGTCCCACCAGTCCTTTGTCGCTGGACGGCGCTGTATGCTTCGCCTCCACTGACACGGATGCATCCCTGCTAGCTTTCGTCACCTACCTCGGCCTCAAGTAGATGCGGTTTGAAAGCTGGACCAAGGGTCCTGCTGTGTGTGCAATTCTAGATGTTCGCAGCCCCAAAATGGACACCGCCAGCCCAAAGAACGCGAAAACCAGCGGCCACCCGGTTCGCGCTTTTCAGTAATTATGAACGTCGCGCAATATGGCATGAGCAGTGAGCAGGGTTAGAAACCAAACGCTTCACCAAGAACAGACGTGTCTGGGTTCGACTCTTCCGGTTGACCTGCAAGACGAAGTTGAAAAGATGAAGGGCCACAAAAATATCACCACTGAATTCGAAGCTTTGTGCATGATTGCGCGCCCTGGAACTGGAAGTGGATGGGGTCTTGACCATGAAATATATCCTCGATCACCAAACAGGGGGTATACCACTGAACTTCGGAACAGGAGACCATGCCGAGTACCTACTCCCGGTTCGAATGAAGCTGTGAGAAGGCGACAGGGGGTGCCACCCTTGGCGTGAAGGGCCAGGGGTTCAGCAACGAAGACCAGTCAAATCACATGTCAGGTAAGTGAAAACAAACAGCAGGTTCAACGGTTCAACCCAACAAAAAGAGCAAAACGCCAGTCAAAACGCCAAACATTCTCGTTTGGTCGTTCCTTTTCCCTCTATCGGCTCTATCGGCCTGTTCCTTTTTCTTGAGGTGCCCAGCCTGCCGGGTGCTGCCACGTCCGCCGCCTTGGACGAGGCGTTGGACACCACTTTTTCATTGAAGAACCCTATAGACTACCCCATAGGTACCCCCAATAGGTACACGCCAGGTGATGGGTCCTACGGTCACATAAGGCCAACCTCTCGGAGGTGCGTCCCTCCGGCTGTGGAACGGTGTTCTGCGGCTTCGCGCCTTGGCACGGTCGACCCAGGACGCGGTCGTCGGTGTCCTGCCGTGACCGCGCTGCAGGAGAAAGCGAAAGCAGATGCCGCGAAAGAGAGAAGGTCGAGAAGGGGTGGCATGTTTTTGCAACACGTTGGGTGAAAAAGGAAACACCACGAAGGCTTCGAGCTTGAGAAATCAACGTCGACCGTGCGAAAGGACCCTTCGTCATTTTAGGGCCAGTCGTGCCGCGGGATCGGCATCAAAGAGAAAGATGTTCAGCATCAAAAGGACCATGTAGCATCAAACATGGTGCATAACCAGCCACCACCACCACCACCACAACAACAACAACAACAAACCATGCACATCCTGGCTTGGGCCACTCCAGAGAGTTTGTTCTTTCTTTTTTGACCTTACGGGCCCCCTTATTTGTTGGGTGCCCCAAGACTGTTGCCAGCAGTTCAGGAAAACGTTTTGATCCCTATTAAATCACGAAAGCTAGCACCAGCTAGCTGGAGTTGGTCTTGCTTTAGCAAGTGAGGGGGTGGAATCATTCTGATATGTTGAAACATGTTGATGCATTTGGTTGATCCTTACTATCACCTTGTTTCTTTGATCCCTCGCCCAAATCCAGGTTTCTCACGGCGGGGATGCTTGTGCAGGTTAGAGCTGGAGGTGGAGGTGAAGGACCTGGAACAAACACTCTCCCAGCTCCAAGGCCGGTGCTTGGACCAAACGGGTTAGCAAAGAAAACATCTCAAAGAGAGGGCTTCAAAAAGGAGACCTCCGAGTGGGATGGGGGTGATGGTGGGAGGCGAGTCTTATATTCATTTACTTGAGGATTCCTCAGTTATCTTTCCTTTATTTTTGTGGGGGGGTGTAGTCCTGCATGCAGTTTGTGTTTGTTCAGTTGGTTATTTCCCTTTCCTTCTTGGCCAACAAGAAACAGATGGGTTCTTTGATGTTCCTTGGTTTTCTGCATTGGTCACAGGGCGGGTCGTCTCAGAACCGGAGAGTCCCTCTTTGGAGAAGGCGCGCTTGGGGGGCCTGGCCGTCGGACGTGACCGTGGAAACTGTCCTGCAAACATCTGGCAACCATGGCAGTCCAAGACCATTTTTAAAACGGTCTTTAGGTGATCCGAAAAGGAACTTCCTTTACTGTGGTGCCTAAAATAGTCTTTGGACTTCTAGGGGCAACAGTGCCGTGTTGAAAGTAACATGCCTTACCAGCAGTCACCATACCATCAAGACGAGGGTGCCCCAGCTACACATCCACAGCCCCTTCCATGGGACGAGCCACACCACCCCGTCGAATGTGACTGCTGGTAGTCCGACTTGTGGTCTTTTTTGGCGTGACGAAGGGATTGGTGGGGGTGGTTGGAGCGTCAAGATGACCGCAAGGTCAACCCAGATCGGCAGCCGCCACTGTGAGCAGGGGGCGGAGAACACTTGGTTTCGATCGGTTGATTCGATCACGTGTGACCGTGCATGTCACATAGTGTCACAGTCCGTGACTGTCACGCTTCCAGTGGTTTCCCGATTGTGTTGAGACTTGAGACCCGCTGCAATGGAATATATATTTTTGCGGTGAAACTCATGGGATATACAATGGGTATCAATGGGTCATTGCCAGGATGTACGTTCGAGTGTACCACCACTTGGTCGGACTTCTCCGGGCGCGTTTCGTCCTCTCCCAGCGCTTCCACCACGGAGCGCGGCTCTCAACACCGCCAGCGGGCTCGAGAGCCATGACGCTCGCCTGGGCGCCAAAGAGGTCCACGCGGCGGCGGATCGTGTGCCCGTCGCGCAGCGACCGCCTGAGTCTCCCGCGCCTAGACGCCGCACCCGACGGACCTGACGCCGACCGGACCCGCGCGCGTCCGGTGCCGGCGAGACCGGCGGCGCCGTTGAGCGTGACGGTGCGGGCCATGTACTTTAGCAACGATGGGTCACAGGCGGACACTGGAGCGCAGGCAGGTGTCATGGAAGAAAAAGAAAAAGAAGAAGAAGAAGAAGAAGAAGAAGAAGAAGAAGAAGAAGAAGAA